TCTGCCCCGACGACCTCGAACCCGGCCAGACGCGACACAACATCACCAATGAGTCTCCGTTTACCATGTAGGTTTTGGGGGAGAGGGGGAAGGGGGACGGGGAGGGAGAGGAGAGGTAAAGAGAGGGGGAAGTGGGGAAAGAGAGATGGAAAGTGGGGAAAGGAGGAGAGGGGGGGAGGAGAGGGGAAAAGAGGGAGAGGAGATGGGAAAGAAGGGGAGAGGGGAGAGGGGAGTGGGGGGGAAGAGGGGAGAAAGGGAGGAGGAGAGCTTGAAGAGGAGATAAAGGGAATAGATGGGGGAGAAAGAAAAAGAGGGAGGGAGAGAGAGAGGAGATGGGGAAAATAAAGGGGAAATGAGGGGGAAGAAGGGAGAAAGGGAGGAGAGGAGGATGGAGAGGGGAGAAAGGGAGGAGGAGAGGTTGAAGAGGAGATAAAGGAAAGAGAGGGGAGAGAGGGAAAAATAGGAGAAGGGATATAGGGAGAAGAGGGGAAAAGAGGGAAGAAGTGGAGGAGGAGAGGATGGGAAGGGGAAAAGAGGGGCGTAAGGGAAGAGAGGATAAGAAAGAATTGGAAAGAGGGAATAAAAAGGGGGAGTGGAGGGAAAGAGGAAGGGATGTAGAAGGGAATGTGAAGGAGAGTGAACAGAGGGAGAATGATAAATAGGAAAGGGGGAGAGCAGAATGAGAGAGAGAGAGACGTTGGCAAAGAAAGGGGGAAAAGTAGAAAAAATAAAGAGATGAGGAGTAGAAGAAAGAAAGAGAAAGAAAAACGAAAGAGGAACAAGGGAGGGAGACGAAGGAGAGGACTAAGTAAAGAAAGAGAGAGAATCATGGAAGAATAGAAAGGATAAAGGGGGATAGGGGGAGATGAAAGGGAAAAGGGAGAAAGAAAGAAAGAAAGGTAAAAGATCAAGGACTAGCATTCAGGAAAGAGAAAGGAGGGAAAGGGAAAAAAGAGAGGAAGAGGAAGAAGGATCAGAAAAATGAGACACGAGGAAGAGATGGAGAAAAAGGATAGAAACAAGGAAGGAGGAGACGAGAAGGACAAGAAAAGGAAAAGGAGGGGGTTGCGAATGAGAGTATAGAAAGAGAAAAAAAATAGAGAAAACATAATGGGCGCATAATGATGCAAAGAAAGGAGAGAAAGGAGGCAGAGCTCGAAAGTATGCTCTATAAAAGAAATATGCTCTATAAAACCGCCCAGCTATCTATCTATCTGTCTATCTACCTATCTCTCCTCTTTCACCTCTCATCATATTCTCCTTCTCTCTCTTCTCTCTCTCTCTCTCTCTCTCTCTCTCTCTCTCTCTCTCTCTCTCTCTCTCTCTCTCTCTCTCTCTCTCTCTCTCTCTCTCTCTCTCTCTCTCTCTCTCTCTCTCTCTCTCTCTCTCTCTCTCTCTCCTCTCTCTCTCTCTCCTCTCTCTCACACACACACACACACACACACACACAACACACACACACACACACACACAACACACACACACACACACACACACACACACCTCCCTCCTCTATCTCTCCCTTTATTTTTATATATATATATATATATATATATATATATATATATATATATATATATATATATATATATATAAATTTGCGTACATATAAATAAAAGGAACAGAAGAGAACGCGACAGTCTAAATGCATCTTATCCTAAATTTGCTAGTAGTAATGATACAGATCTCAATAAGAATCTCAAGACCCACACAAACACATGATAACAAAGAAGATCTGTAAAAAAGCATTGCAACAGTGCAATAAGAACTTTTTGCAGGAGTGAATAGGAAAAAGTTTGTCTCAGGAGTCTGTGCCTCTGTAAAGTTTTGTTTTTTAATTCACTGAAACTTAATGAGCATTTTATTGGACGAAAAAATGTGGTTATATACTAATAACATTCTTGCCAGCACTCACTGTAACAATAAAAATAACTGATTGCAATTATAAGTTCTTTAGTCGCAGAAATCACAACAATAACTTCTAATTCGCAAAGACTCACCTCCAACAACCCAAAATACCTGTGATTGCAATGACAAGCTGTTCCGTTGCAGGAGTCACTGCGACTGCAACGACAACTTCCGCAAATGCCTGCACGACGTCGGCAGCGGGGAGGCGAACGAGGTCGGGTCGGCCTACTTCTCGACGGGCCTCTTCCAGTGCTACCGCCTCGCGAAGCCGACGGCGGGGTGCAAGCAGTGGGCAGGGTGAGTTGGGGGGGGGGTGAACGAGAGGGATAAAGGGAGGGAAGAAGAGAAAAGAAAAGGAAAGATGAAGGAGGGAAAGAAGGAAGATAAGACATGCATAAACATACATGCATACATAAATACATACATATAAACGTATGTGTGTATATGTGTGTTTGAGTGTGTGTGTGTGTGTGTGTGTGTGTGTGTGTGTGTGTGTGTGTGTGTGTGTTGTGTGTGTGTGTGTGTGTGTGTGTGTGTGTGTGCGTGTGTGTGTGTGTGTGTGTGTATGCGTGTGTGTGTATGTGTGTGTGGCGTGCATGCGTGTGTGTTTAGGCGTGTGTGTGTGTTTATACAAACATAAGCACAGAGATGAAACAGACATCAGAAACGAACATTCACTCCGTTCACTGCGACAAATGTACAAGCCGTCAGAATTACAACGAGTTTTTTCCGTTTTTTGCTTTGTTACATCAATGTCAGAATTCCTCATTATACCTTTTCTTTATTTGTCCCACGGAACTCCATGAAACTTACTTTCTGTTTGTTGGATATCTGTTTTACATATTTCGTTGATTTGTGAATTATTAAAGAAAATGTTGTGAATGTCAAAATAGTTCGTCGGGTTTTCATTAATCAGCGCGCTAAAGGAAGCCCTTTGTTTGGCCCGGTTTGTTATTGTTGCGCTTGCTTTGTTGGCTTTGTTTTGCTGTGGCTTTGTTCTTACGTGTGTGTGTGTGTGTGTATACCTATACACACACACACACACACACAACACACACACAACACACATATATATATATATATATATATATATATATATATATATATATATATATATATATATATATATATATATATATACATATATATATATATATATATATATATATATATATATAATAGTACATATACATCATTCGCATATTTGTAATAGTTTTCCGATATCTTAATTATACAAGATAAAAATGGGGTATTTCCTATGCACATGTATATAACCCACAGATTTTTTATATTTACCTTATCAAAGTTAATCCATGCAATTAAGATAAAAATATGAATATATTTATATGACACCGGCAGCATAATTAACGAAAAATAATAATAAAATTAAAAATAGAAAATAGAAATATAAAGGTACACATACTCAAATACTGACATTTCTCTCATTTTCTCTTCCCCACAGGTTGCTAACCCAAGCTTGTCAGGAATATAACTTCAACGAGGACGGAGAACCACGCTGGCAGGTGTTTGACATGAAATCATTTTAATTGACAGGCTAGATATACCGCACAGGTGATCCCGACCGACTCTTTGGAATCAAGAACATTCACTTTGATTGACGACGTAATGATCGCCATCAAAGAAAACGGAAGGTGTTGAGGCTTTATAGAAAACGAGATTTAGTAGGATGAGAGGGAAACAATGATATTTAGATGATGTGTGGTGTGTGTGTGTGTGTGTGTGTGTGTGTGTGTGTGTGTGTGTGTGTGTGTGTGTGTGTGTGTGTGTGTGTGTGTGTGTGTGTGTGTGTGTGTGTGTGTGTGTGTGTGAGAGAGAGGAGGGGGGAGGGAGAGAGGAGGTTGGAGGAGTGGATAGAGGAGCAAGAGAGAGAAGAGAGAGAAAGAGAGAGAGAGAGAGAGAGAGAGAGAGAGAGAGAGAGAGAGAGAGAGAGAGAGAGAGAGAGAGAGAGAGAGAGAGAGAGAAAAGAAATAATCACCTCAAAACTAACAGCTGACAAAAGATATCATAAGAAACAGTTTAGATAAAAAGCACAACGATGTTTAAAACTAAATGATAAAATAGTATAAGAAAACTACATCCGCCATTAGCTATCATTAAATAGAAATGATTTTTTTGAGACATTCATGCGTCTTTACAACACAGTATTAACACAGTATTTATTACAGATATACCAGTACAGATACATATTTGGACAACTTTAAATATAAGTGACTTAAACCTATTTTACATACGTGTATTCTTGAGCATAGTATGACTTAGGTCTAGTTCACCTACTAATCAATAAAGTTAACCAATCACTTGTAAAAAAATGTACATTAATTGCATCTTGTTTTTTTTAATAACAATTCGTATTCAAGGCTCTTTATCGTAACTATAATTTGTCTAATAAATTATAATCGTAGCTTTGATTTATTGTTTATTTTTTTACATTTAAATAAATGATATTCTATAAATGTTTGAATTTTTAAGAAAGTTATATTTAGTTACGATATCGGTTTATCCTCTTATCATTTTCTTATCAGTCATTGCCAATCGCAACAAAATGAATCATCTTTATTACTTTACTTATTAATAAAAAATGATTATATATAAAATCGGAGACAGATAATACGCCAACCAGGTTAGGCATCGCTTAGCTTCAAGAAAAAAAAAACTGAAAAAGGGTCGCTTTGAATACTTCATTGTACACAAAGAATTTTAGAAAGTCTAGTGGAAAGTCCGGCAGGTAATCAAAGTACAAGGAAAATAATGTTTTATACAATTTTCAGTAAACGCGGCAAAATACCGGGAAAAGATTGAGTAGTTTTAGGCTTAGTATGGTCGGCTGTGGATCTGTTTCCTAGCTTTCATTTGTTTTTGTTTTTGTTTTCATTCGTACTTTATAAGAAATTGAAAACATCTAATGGGTATTTTCACTGGAATCATATCCATTCTAATCCGATTTTCACCCAATCATGGTCGTAAAAATGTGCAATTTATCATGTAACTATATTCTAAAATTATAAGGATGATAATGATAAAACTTAATAGAATTGCCAAATAGGCTTTGTGACTCGACTGAGAAAACGGATACACTCGTATTAACTCTTGTGATTTTGCTTTGGTCACGTGCTATGGTCACGACAAAGTACTAATAAATTTGATGATTATTTGATAATGGTGTTTATGTCTAACCCCTAATTCTATATACAAGAAAAAATAACGGACTTGAACTAAGTTTCTGATTCAGAAACTGTATGATGTAAGTATGAATGGATGTATTTTTCTTTTTCTTTTTTTTTTTTTTTTTTGTATCTTTGCCCCTCACTGCATGAGTGTGTAAAGTGGGTAACCAAAAGAGCTTAACGCAAAAATGACCTTTAAAATATGATTATCACTTTAAGAAAATATGAAGATAATAGCGTGCTAAAGTATATATATATATATATATATATATATATATATATATATATATATATATATATATATATATATATATGCAATAAAAAAAATCTCAGTATCTTCTATTCTAATATTCTCATTTCTATAATGGCCATCAGGCCCTGCTTTCATTAACAAGTGAACATTATGGGTCATACAAAAAAAAAAAAAAAAAAAAAAATCAAAATGCAGGAATATGTGTCTTGTTTATTATTTGGAAAAGGACATTTACCTCTTTGGCCACTGCTAATCTTTGACTATTTTGAGGTTATTCGGTTTAATATATTGGAAACTTTTATATTGTTTTTTCTGTTTATTTATTTATTCATCTACCTTTTATTTATTTATTTATCTATTTATCTATTTATTTTACTTAATGTTAGTTTGATGTTCGAGTTGCGGATGATAAATTACTCGATTTCTAGATCTAGATTTTTTTTTTTTTTTTTTTTTTTTTTTTTTTTTTTTTTTTTTTACCGTACGCTTTGAAATCTTGTTAATTACGTAGATGATGGCAGTGATGGTGATGATGATGATGAATACCTGTTTAATCAGCACATATTATCCAAATGACAAATAACATTAATACTTGTTGCATTACACCGGAAATATTTGCATTTACACTTTTTGCGGTATCACTGATATTCAAAGCCCAGTTTGATGGTCATCTATGATAAGATTACGCCGCGTAAATATTGTTAAAAACAAATAGATTATTCATATTTCAAATCGTTTTTTTTTTTTTGTTGTTGTTGTTTTTCCTTTTATGGTGGGTTAAAGTGCATGTACTTTCTAAATAATTGACTACTGGTGGATTATATTATTGATATTTAGACATTTGGAAATAAATGCAAAACAGGTGAAACGTTTCTCATTTTCCACTACTGATCATCACAATGTTGCCAACCAAGTGTTCAAATTCATCGTCACATACCATTACAGTCCTTATCCCCGTTAACCCTAAGGAAGACAACGGAAGAAGACGAAAAAGATGAAAATTAGAAGAAAATGGATTCGTTGTTTAAGCTGTCTGACGTCATGCCCAAAGAGCGCGCCTCCCAGACACAACATCGAAACAGCTGTTTTCATTTCAGAAAATAACGATACGATCTATTTTATGTCACATTATGGCTTTTGTTTATAGGTTAGAACCGAAAAGAAAACATGTGAAATATGTGATGGAGATGTTGACAGGTTAGGTTGTTTGAGGTTAGTATAAATCAGTTTAGAATAAATAGTTTGAATATGGAGGGTTAGTTTAACTTACCTTTAATTAGGCTAGGCTAGGTTAGGGCAAACAGGTTATAATAGGTAGGCGGCTTATATCATTAGATCGGTTAGGTTGGGCTAGGATGACTTACAGTAGTTTAGCTTAGCATTAACGCAGTTGTGAGTATATCGTAAAATATGTGGCTGCCATGCAAAGTCCAAAGAAGTGCATGGTTGTTCATGGCAAATCCGGCAAACTAGCGAACGACCCAACAAAGTAGAGACCGATCCCCTAGAGTTCTGTGATGCTCTATCCCTTCTGGAGGAAATCAACCTTATATAAATCTCTCCTATATTGCAACCACACATTCCCATATAGACAGCTGGTTGCATGCCAAAAAGTGACACTTCAAAACAAAGGTTTCCCTCAATGTCGGGCACAGAACAGGCTACAAGAGAAATTACGGGTAATTTTCATAGACTGGCAAAAACGTGTTATACTGAAACCCTTAAACATAATAGAATCTAAAGAGATTCTACTTGTTAGAAACGATGACTGGAATGAGATATCTCGGTGTTTCTGTCAGAATGTTTCCAAAACTAGAAGAAAAAAAATACTTTTTAGTTTTACATTGACATAAGCACAATCTTTCTGAAAATCTAGAATATTCGTAAAATAAAATTTAAATAGTGGTATAGAGCATGTGCACCAAGAAACATTCTTATCATTCATAATTGCTTTATATAAATATGAACACTCCAAGAACAGTAACAACCCCATTCCACATGAGCAAGGCAAATTAACCCAAGGAAATGAGCAGTCAACCCCTCCTAGCTGAACCCAACCCAAAAATCAGATTTTCCATTAATTCCAAGTGTTACACGGATAGTACAGCAGCCTCGCCAAGAAGGCATGGGTGCATCTGATTTTATGTTCGATCT